AACAGATTTGCATGTTCAAAAATACAATATAGACATCATGTTTCTGATGTTGTACGTATTCTGAGGTTTCACGTATTTGTATGCCTAAGTAGGGAGTAAATTAGTTCAGAACTTCTTAAGGAAATTAGAATTATCAAATTCATGCTTGCTTCTGAATTATAGTTCTGATATTTCTTGTTTCTGAAACACTATGAAACCTGCCATAACTATTATATGTGCATCTTTTGTTTTGTTGAGAAATAACTAAGTTGCAGATGTTCTGACTAGCATGGAGAGGGAGACTAAGTTCTGCCAGTGATATCAGAACTTCTGAAATCTTCTTTGTTCCCAGCGGACTCAGAACTTCTTACTTTACCTATTTCTACTAATATGATCTCTGTTTTACAGCACGCCAGAGTCAGAACTTCTGATCTCTTTTAGTCAGCAATGCGCTGATTCTATTTTCTTTTTCTTTACTATTTTTGCTATCACTTCTTATTTCACTAATCAAAAACACCAAAAACATTTTACATCTTACATGCTTTATTTTATTTCTTAAAATAAAAAGATCAAAAATATTTTCTTAAACAAAACTTATCTCTTTCAAAAACAAAACAAGTTCATTTCACATTTTCTTATACATTCTTATCCATTCAATATGGTTGTAATAGTAACTTAGGATTTAACTTTATTTGCAAATCCCCATTCATGAATTTGTACACCCCCTCCCCCACAAATGTTGTAATAGCGTAGTAACTTTAAATTTCGTAATTTATCGCTTTTATATAACATGCTAGTAATTAGGATTTGTATGGAAAGACTAAAACCAATACTTATAAAAACCCTAATCTAAGACAAAAACAAGAATGAAAACAATAAACTTGCACACAAGCACCCCTAGGGTTATTCCACTTGGTTTCCTTATACAAAATGGCCATATTACGCATGTAAGGTATCTTAGCAAAAACAAGCAAATACAAGATCATAGTCCCTCGATGACGTTATCTAAGTTGCCTTAGAAACGATCTTAGTCCCTCGAAAATAATGATAAGATACCTTACAACATTGCTAATCATGGTTATACGATGAGCCACGCCCGTCCCGTTTACATCCAAAGATAGGATTGCTTACCAAATCAATGGTAATACAACAATGTCAAAGGAAAAGGAAATGAACAAGAAAGACATTTGAGTAGGTAGAATGTTCCTAATTACTTGCTCAATTTCAAACAAATCATCCTTGCTATTTTACAAACAAACACTTACACTTTCAAAACATCTTACAAAACTTGAAAACATTTTCAAAATATTAAACATCTTTGTATACATTCTTACGAACCAGAATCATTACAAAGATTGCCTAAACAAAGGCCTCTTTACAAAATACTTTCAAAAACCACACCAAGAACAATTTTCAAACAAAAAGCAAGTGATCTAGCAAGTAACTAAGAGCCCATGGAAAACCATGGATGAAAAGGGTGATAATACCTTCTTTTTTCATAATCTACCCCCCGAACTCAAGAAACAATCTCAAAGGTCTTTCCTGTGCTTTTTTCACCTTTCCTTTTGGATAAAAGAAAAGTCGATGGCGACTCTTGCTAACCGCAACATTTGCGATCAAACGCAAAACACCCAAGTCAGTTCTCCCACTGTATCACAATAGTGACAGGATTTATGAAAGGAATCCTTAGTAGGTAGGTTCCTAGTATTGGCCTACAGATATTCTACCATCCCCATAAGGTGGTTTTATTAAGGGTATCATGGACAATACTAGAGGGAAAGGCACAAGGGCCTCCCTTAAGTGGAGTCTCTTTGTAGACCAAAACTTTCGTCTCTAAGATCATGGAAGGTCTCACCATGAGATTTTGGTTTAAGGGTTATATAAAAAGTCATAGGTTTCATTCTAGAGTCCTACCCCCAAGAGGATATCTCTTGAGACGTTTTTTTTGGAATTTCACCGATTCTAGGTAAATTCTTCATAAAAACTCATAGAGATTATGTATCCCCTTGGCCAATAGACAATCCTTCTTTCTAAGGGTTTTTTGAAATTAAATTTTTAATACAAAAAATCTCATCACAAATAAATATAGCATGATAAAAAGATGTAAAATAAATAAATAAACCAAAAATAATAAATAAAATATGAAGAAATAAAAAAAGAAAACCCTAAAAACCCAAAATCCCGAAAAGAAAGGCTTTTAACCCTAGGGTTGATTCTCCAGCAGAGTCGCCAGCTGTTATAACAGGGTTTAAAATGAGAATCGCCATCATTAATTTTTATCCTAGGGAAGGAAATACAACGGATAACCCTAATTTGGTTAGAGATTCTAAATTGTTGACTCGTTTTTAGACGAATGGAAGGTGTTAGACACCCTTCCTCTACCTTGCTCACAAGGATACTAGGGTTTAGATTTCAATTTAGGAAGTAGGGTTTTAAATTTTAATTAGGGGAACTCGCCATGATTTTAGTCGTATACCTACGTATACTCTTATGAGGAATCAGAGTCCCAATTCCTAGTTCACAGTTGGTTGGTGTTTTTTATGGATTATAAAATATCTCGTATTAATCCTTGAACCAAGTCTGGGTTGAAAATAGCGGAGTGTTTAGACGAAGTTCACAGTTAATGAGAAATATCTCCATAATCCTTTTTGAAAATAATATCTTGGATTTAATAAGTCATTGAAAATTGTTAGTGATTTGTTGGTTATATGTTTTTCAAATACATCAAAATATTTTTATGCATGAGGAAAAATGATTCTAATGCAATTAAAGAAATATTTGAATTGGTTAGTAAAAAATATTTGTATTAAAAATAATTTCAGAATTTATTATTAAAATAAATATTAATTATGTTAATATAAATAAATAGATAAATAAAACAAATTGTAACAATTATAATTTAAATTAATTTATGCAAGGGGTGTATTTTTATTTTGGTAGTAAAAGGATGGGGTATGAATAGTAAGACCCTAAATTCAGATATTGAATTTGGACCAAAAACACAGGGGTGTCGTTTTTAACATGGTAGCAAAAATGGGGGGGTTGGTTCAGCAAGGGCCTAAGTTTAGATATTGAATTGGGCTCAATAGAACAGGGGGTACGGTTTTTTATTGGTGAAGTAATTTGAGGGTGCGTTCAATAATGGGCTAGGCCCAAAATAAATGTATGATCCACTGGACAGGATGTGGACGAGTGTTGGGTGCTATGATGGATATGCGGTTTATAAACGTATGATGAAGATCCAAGGGCAAGGAGCGAGGGCGCACAGTAAGAGGGACATAGGGAATCAGAGGGTGTTATATAAACAAATTTCCATGTTGAAGGCCCATTTTTTTCTCTTTTCTCCCTCTCTCTTCACCAAAACAACAACACAGACGTTGGAGGATAGAGAGAGAAGCTCCCACTTCTATCTAGATTTCTGTCACCGAAAATCGCCTCTGCCTTGGGTGCCACCGGCCGGAAATCACTTACGCCGGCGGCTGCTCCAAGGCGCCACCATCTTCAAACTAAATTACCATCTAGGTTCATAGGAACCCTAAGGGTTCATAAAGAACCCTAATCAAACCAAAACCCAGAAATACACTCCCCTTCTATGAACAAACCTAATGGGCCATCAGATTTTGATGGTCCATTTTGAGGCAATACACCCCTCTTATGAATACATACTCTTAAGAGACACTAAGATTATAAATTAGTAACATAGTAATATTGAAATTTAGATAACATGACTGTTGAAATTAATGGGGAAAATTTTGGGTATGGCAGACACCTTTGTGAGAGACACACCACTTGTCCATCTAAAACCTTAATATGATAGGTGAGTGGGTTCTCCCACTTATAAATGTTCAAGTTACCACATTTCTATCCAACGTGGAACTATTTCTCCACCTACTCACACTTGCATTTCTTTTTGAATAATCACAAATTTGATTAAAATAAAAACAATGAATACAAGGCGATCGCTAGGATCCAGTCAAATAACCCACCAAATTAATATATCATAAGCCTAGCAATATAGTCTCTCATCTGTTGACGAGTCCAACTTCTATAAAATATATTGTCCATGATCTTTTTTCCTATGTGTGATTATTAACTATACCCCAAAAACTAACATCATTCCTATACTTCAAAAGCTCATACACAGTCTCTATTATGGAAGTTTTAAGCAAAGTTGCTTTATTCCCCTTTCTTTTGCTTTGAAAAATCACCAAACTAAGCTCTTCACTCCACTTCTTTGGTTGATGATTTATCTTCTGCCAACTCAATACCCGTTCCCAAATAACCTTCATTTCAACTTATTCAAAAAGAAGGTGGTCCATTGTTTCTTGCTGATCACAGAATTTACACTTTCCATCATTTAATAACCTAAATTTTGTCATCCTCACCTTGGTGGCAAGTCTACCATGGTAGGTAATCCAGAATACATACTTAGCACGAAGTCTGGCCAGATTTGAGAATAATAATTTTCTCCATGGAACTATGTTGGTACCATCCTGCAAATTTGTCATACTTTCATTATTATTCTAACAAATACTAGATTTAATTATAAAAGGTATAAAAGTTAAATTGCAAATTTAATTAAAAAAAAGTGCAAGTTCTTTTATCTAATTAAATGTGAAATTTAATCATTATAAAATATTTGGGTTGATTGTTGTTTATACTTCTACTAGTTATATTCGAAGGAGATTACTTTGGAATGAGCTTTCATATGTCATATCTAATTATAAAATTCCTTGGAGTATTTTTGGAGATTTTAATGTCGTGATGGGAGCTCGTGAACATCTTGGCCATTCTGCTCCGACCAGACTTCCTATTTAGAATTTTTTGACTGGACTTACTTGAATGATTTGCTTCATTTGCTGAGTATTGGAGCATTCTACACTTGGTCCAATGGAAGAGTGGGTAGTGCTAGCACTCTAAAGATATTATATAGAGCTATTTGCAACATATAATGGATTACCTATTTTAATCAAACTTCGTGTTACTCCTTAACCTAAGTAAGATCTGACCATTTTCCTTTGATGCTTAATTTCAACAATTCTTCTATTTCTATTGTCATTCAATTTAAATTTAAATATAAGTGGACTACTCACCCTCTTTATTTAGATATTGTCAAATCCTCTTGGAAGAGTAAAGTTGTTGGTTGTCCTATGTTTGTTCTCTCTGAAAAGCTTAGGTTGCTCAAGAATAATCTGAAATCTTGGAATAAAAATACTTTTGGAAATAGTCATCATTTAGTTGATGAAGAAGTGGAGAAGCTGACCTATGTGCAGGGCAAGATTCAAGTTGATGGTTATACTGAGGCGCTTAGATCAGAGGAAAAACTTTGCATGAGCAGACTTGAGGACGCCCTTCACAAGGAGCACTTATTCTAGAAAGAAAAAGCTAAAGTCAAGTGGAATTTGGAGGGGGACTGAAACACCAAGTACTTCCACATGATTTCTAAAATCAAGAATGTTATCAATAATATTTGGGCTCTCAATATTGATTGTGATCTCGTCTATGATCAGCAGATTATTGGTTCTCATGTGGTTGACTATTATAAGAATCATGTCTCTTCTTTTGGGAGCACGGTTGTTGACACCGACTTCATCAAAGATTGTATCCCCAATTTCATCAACCAAGAAACCAATCAAAAGCTTATGTATATCCCTTCTGACATTGAAATAAAATATGTTGTCTTTAACCTAAACAAAGAGGAAGCTCCTGGACCAGATGGTTTTGGAGCCTTATTCTTCCAACTTTATTGTGATATTATTCAACAGGATGCCATCGATACGGTTAAGCAATTTTTCACTTCCTCCTGGATTATGCCTAGCTTTAATTCCAATACTTTGATTCTAATCCCTAAAACTTCTAATGTTGTTTCATTGATCTCTTTAGACATATTACTTTATCTAATTTTAAATTTAAAATCATTTCTAAGTTTCTTGCTGATAGCTTAGCTCTCATTATGCATGCCATCATCTCCAAAAATCAAAAAGGATTTATTCATGGGAGATGCATTAAAGATTGTATAGGGCTTACTTCTGAGGCATTCAACTTGATGCACAAGAAGTCCTATGGTTGTAATTTAGTCATGAAAGTAGACATTAAAAAAGCTTTTGATTCTATTGATTGGTTGTTTTTATTGCAGGTTCTTAAACAATTTAGTTTTAATGATACATTTACTAATTGGATTTGGACCATCCTCAAATCAGCTAAGATATTTGTTTCTTTCAATGGGAAGATGCATGGTTTCTTTGATTGTGGTAAATGGGTTAGGCAGGGGGATCCCCTCCCCCGTATCCTCTTTTGCATTGCTGAGGAAGTTCTTAGCAGAAGTTTAACCAATATGGTTAATCAGAATGAAATTAAGCTTATCCCTAGCCCTAGAGCTCTTGATATGCCTTCTCACTATTTATTTGCTGACAATGTTATGATCTTTTACAGGGGAGACAAAGGTACTATTGGTTCTCTTATCCCTCTTTTTTTAAATATGTTGCTTCTTCAGGTCAAATGGTGAATCCTAAAAAATATTTCATTTTCATTGGTTTTATGAACAAGGCAAGATTGTTTCATATCACTAATCAATTGGGTTTTAAGATTGTACATCTTCCATTCACTTACTTGGATGTTCCTATTTTCAAGGGTAAGCCTAAAGCCAGGTATCTTAGACCCACTCTAGACAAAGTTAAAGCTAAGTTATCCAAGTGGAAGGGGTCTCTTCTGGGTTTTGCTGGTAGAATTCAATTAGTTAAATCTTCTATTACTTCTATGTTTGTACATAGTTTTACCATCTACTCTTGGCCCGAATCTTTGATTAAAGAGTTGGAAAAAAGCATTAAGAATTTCATTTGATCTGGTGAAATTAAGAAGTCTAAGCTAGTCACAGGGGCTTAGGAAAAAGTGTGGAAGCCTCTGGAGCAGAGGGTTAGGTACGAGATCCATTATCACCTTCAATAGTGCTTTCAACATAAAGCTTTTTGGGATCTATTGAAATCCTCTGAGAGCTAGAGTTCTCAGAGATTACGTTCCTATCAAGTACCATGTTACTTCTTCTATTTGGAGTAGAATTAAAAATGAGGTGGTTTCTGTTAATAGCAACTCTAGAATGGTCCTAGGGAATGGCCGTAGCACTAAGTTTTGGCTGGACCATTGGTGTGGGCCTCCTTTAGTTAATAGGATTCATGACACGGATGATATCCACGCCAACACTTTAGTTTTAGCCTTCTTACATAATGGCTATTGGATTTTTCCTATTAATGTGATCAATAAAATTCCTAACTTGCATTTTCTTGCAGAGAATATCACTATCCCTATTGATAACATGGAGGATAAAAGGATTTGGATCCACTTTAGTTCTGGTGACTTAACTCTTAAAGATGCTTACATCTTCAAGTATAAAACTACTCTAACCCAGCCTTTGTCCAAGCAGATTTGGAATATTGATATTCCTCCCTCCAAGGCGTTCATTATTTGGAGGCTTTTCTAGAATCGCTTACCGAATGATGACAATCTCATGCTGAGAGGATGTTATAGTCCTTCGATGTGTAGCCTCTGCGGTTCCAATACAGAAACAACAGAGCATCTTTTTTTTCACTGCTCTTTTTCTCTTCATATTTGGCAATCGTTTTTTAACATGATAAAGTTGCCTATTATGGCTAATATCTTGAATATTTTAGAAATTTGTGACAGGAATTGGAGCACTTAATGCAAGAGGATCTAATGACCTACCAAGAGGTTATCACTGGTCCTGAGTCTGAGAAGTGGCTAAAGGCTATGAAATCTAAAATGGATTTCATGTCTACAAACCAAATTTGTACCTTGGTAAAGCCTCATATAGGAGTTAATCCTATAGGATGCAAGCGGGCCTTCAAAAAGATGACTAACATGAATGATAAGGTCATTACCTATAAGGCAAGACTTGGAGATAAGGGCTATAACCAAATTCATGGTGTAGACTAAGATTAAACCTTTTCATCAAATGTAATGCTTAAATTTGTTTGAATTTTATTTGATATCGTTGCATGTAGATAGATGCAAAGATTGTTTTTCTTAATGGGAATATTCTTAAGGATGTATACATGACACAACCTGAAGTATTTGACATACCAAAAGAAACCAAAAAGATATGAAAGTTATAGCGATCAATATATGTATTGAAGCAAGCTTCTAGAATACCTCCATATATACATATATTCATATATTCATATATTAAAGGATGTTATATCGATGTTAACTTCCATATATATATATATATATATATATATATATATATATATATATATATATATATATATATATATATATATATATATATATATATATATATATATATATATATATATATATATATATATATATATATATATATATATATATATATATATATATATATATATATATATATATATATATATGTTCTGGACTGGGCCCGACAGGCCCAAAAGCATTGCTGAGGCCCAGTCCAAAGGGACTTACTGAGGACCACGTCGAGCAAAGGGGGTCACATCCGTGCCCGACATCCTGATGTCCAGCTCGACATCCCACTGTCCAACTCCACGTGATGATGTCCAGCTCCACCTCCTGACGTCCAGCTCGACATCCTGCCGTTCAGTTCCACGCCCTGACGTCCAGCTCGACACCCCGCTGTCTAGCTCGACGTTCTGACGTCCAGCTCGACACCCTGCTGTCCAGCTCGACGTTGTCTCGAGCATCCCAACTAGGGCAGACTCAGTCCACCGTTCCCCAACGATACTCCGGAAAGACCGCGTCTTCGTCCGCCCGCACTTCACGCAGAACATCCAGGAAGGGGACCACGTGCGGGTCCCCACTACCCACGTAGAACCTGGCAGTTCCTCCATTGGGCCAAATCCGCCCGGCCCAATGAAGGAACCTTGGCCCAGCGCTGGGGGCTATAAATACCCTCTGTTTCTAGAGGGTCAGGTATTGATCATTCTAACCTCAACTTACTATTATCTGCTCGTACTCCTACTTACTTCAGCATCGGAGTGCCTTGTAGGTACCCCCCCCCCCCCCCCCCCACCTCGTTCAAAAAGCTTCCTGCTCGGAGCCAGCCGTGACGGTCCATTTCTGATCAGGTCAGATCAGTGGCGCCATCTGTGGGAAACAGCTTCCCCGTCTAACGAACAATTCTAAGGACCAAAGCTCAATTCAATTACCTGTCATGGCTGATCCAGCTCGCGAAGAGCAGCACGTCCGTGTCGCCGACACTAATAACGGTCCCGTGGACAAGAATGGACACCTCGACAATCCCGGTGATCCCGGCCACAATGCCATCCCTGTGACAACCGCCCCTGGACCTACCTCCCACAGGGACGGGGTTACCGCGTCGTCCTCTACGACCCCTCCAGCACTCGAAGACGACCCGGAAGCTCTCGCTTATCGCAGAGCTGCCCGGTTCTATGAAGTCCCAGTCCCCGCCGGAGCAGATGCCACGACTCAGGCACTGTTCGCGGCCATTAATCAGAAAAATTACCTAATCTTCGCCCAAGGAGAAAGGTTAAGGGCACTGGAAGATGATCGACGACCCCCGAGGAGACATCAGAGGCCGCATTCTCCTCCTCCTCGGGTCACGGAAGCTCGACACCCTTCTCCTCCGCGGAGACATTATAGGGAGAAATCCAGGAGCCCCTCTCCCCGGCCAAAGCAGAGGCGGCCCCGATATGAGAGACAGCCCGTCATCCCTACCGAAGAACCCAGTCGCGACCCATCAAGGCACGACAAGAGGCACGCCAGAGACGGGCGGGTGACCTTCAACCACCGAGCATCACGCTCGAGGGAATCTCAGCACGATCATCGTGCCAGACATAACTACAGGACCCCTTCTCTTTCTCCGGAGAGGAGCGACGAGGACGACCCCTGCGGTCCCCTGTCGCAGGCCATCATGGATGCACCTATCCCCCCGGGCATGGAGAAGCCCCCGCGTCTGAAGGAGTATGATGGAGTAGCGGACCCGGTCGACCACATCGACGGGTTCGAAGCCATGCTCCACTATCATAATGTCGGGGGGGCCATCAAATGCCACCTTTTCCCCACAACTCTCAGAGACGGTGGCGTCAAGCGTCCCCGACCTGCTCCTGCCAAGCCAGGGGCAGACAAAAATAAATACTGTCAATACCATAGGAGTCATGGCCATTTGACAGAGGACTGCGTCCACCTCAAGGACGCCATTGAAACCCTCATCAAAGGAGGGAGGCTCGCACAGTACAGGCGAAACGACGCTCCCCGTCGTGACGCCCATGAAGCTAAGGAGCCGGAAGAGGATGCCCGACCATCAGACGAGTCGGTACCAATCCAGACCGCCTTCTCGGTAACCAGGCCCGAGGATTTCGATGTTCCCGAGCTCCTGCAGGAGCCCCTGACAACACAC